TTTGTAATTTGAATTTGGTTGTCGATTGAATATCTCAACAATATTATAATAACATTTCTGACAGCAAATTATTTTTTCTTATATTTAATAAAGATACACCATTGGTATGGTTAGCAGAAAGAGCAATAATTTTAGACAATAAAATATGTCTTTACCTAATGCTTTTGTCACAGCTGGTGATCTGACATATATTAATCTCCTTTAGACTCAGTTGCCTTAACTATAAAATGGAAAGAATGCACACTACTTGCCATTAGTGAAATGTATGATTATATGCAATGTTTTATCTATTATGCCTGGGATAAGTAGGTGGTACTGGACTAGTGCATTAAGCAACTTTTGTTGTGTTTCTTTATTTGTTTATTTATTTTTTGCAGAACTGGGATTGAACTCAGGCCCTTGCACTTGCCAGGGAAGCACTTATTCCACTGAGCCACCTCCCGGGCCCCTTTATTGTATTTCTTTGATGCACCAAACAGCACATTCATTTTTGGAAAATATGAATAAAACACAAAGACTCTTACTTCAGAAGGGTTAGCTGAACAGTGGTGCTGACTTCTCATTCAATTACTACTTTTTTTTCTTAGAAAAACATGCTTTGAAAGAGAAGTAGAGAACTATAGACACAAATATTTCTGATGAGCAATGGGAATGTACATCAGCAGTGTAATACTTGCCTAATATGTGTGAAGCTCTGGGTTTGATCCCAAGCACCAAAAATATGCAGGCGTGCACACATACATATATAATATCACACATTATTTTCCCAATGAAATTAATTTATTTTTCCACTTAAGTTCATAGCACAGTATCTCTTCCTTATATGTCCAAAAGGACAACAGGAAGACAAGAATAATGCCTACATTCTAGCATGGTTTCAGGCATTAAAGGGATAACATACGTAAAATATGTGGCTCATACTAAAGAATCTCTTCCCATTTAATTATGATTATTTCCAGTAACATCCTAAAGCCAACTTATAGTTCACAAATAGAATGGCTCCAAAAAGAGCCATGGAGACAGAGCACTTGAAAATAAAAGCCATAAGCAAAAGCTAAGGAAAACGAGTGG